TGATATTTCATCCAGACAAGATAATCATTACCAGGAACTCAGGAATATTTGAGCCTGCATATTAATACGTAGCTACTATATTCAACTGGATGCGCGCGCATATATTGCTGTGTTTCATTGTGTTTGTATTGTGGGCATGTATTGTTTATATGCATGAGGATTCCTGCAATTATTCTCATACAACTGGTTCCAGATTAGATACAATCCTGTAATATCTGATAACGACAAAGTGCGACAATGCCAGGAAATTAGCCACAGTAATTAAACATCACAAAGCCATTTCCGATTTACCAAGTATATTTTACTTGGTTAATTTAACAAAAATTTCAATTTCTAAGGTGATATCTTTTGTGTTGTGTAAGAAAGGCCTTAGTCAAACACAGCCGTTATGAACTTAAGCAGTTGTTTATAAGCATGACAAGACATATTGCCAAATTACAGGATGACAGAAATAAGGGAAATTAATGTGGAATGAAGGCATAATGACTTTATTTAAGCTACTATGCCGACACTTGCCTGGAAGAACTGAGGAAAACAACGAACAACTTAAATCAGGATACACAGCCGGTCACTGGACAAAGATCTGAATTCTAGACTTTCAAAATACTAAGGAAAGTTAACAATTCAGCCGCTGCCTCGGATAACTACGTTACTGAAACAATGGAATTAAGTTTACAAATTTTCTAGGCGATATAGTCAAATAGTCTAAAACTATAATCGAAACAATAAACAATATTATGTTCATGTTTCACATTGGTCAGTTTGAAATATAAAAATCAATATTAATTCCCTTAATTTTATCATTATATTAGGGTTGGGTTCTTCGCCCGGATTAAAATGGTTCCTATATTCTACTCTTAGTTTTATATCCTACTTCTCAGTTTAGTTTGAAGGGATACTTTTTTCCAAATTCCCTAGAAATGTCCCTTCTTAGTTGCTTAATATTACATTGATGTATGCCAATTCCATTTGTTCTTATATGTGAAGTATCAACTGCTTTTCCGTGACAGCTCTGACAACACGACTCTTAGCCGTCTTCATTGTGGCATAAACACCTCATCACAATTTTATGACAACAGTGCATGTCACAAATTAGTCAGCTTTCATAGATTGCTAAAACAGAAAATCTGCTTTCTCTAGAATAAAATTAGTTTTATCGAAGACGATAATGCATTATTGTAGGCTAAATCTTCGATAGCCCAGTCAAGCAGATCTCATGTACAAATTAGGAAGGCTCAGATTTTTTAAACACAGTCTAATACCTTAACGTAAACACTCAGTCGGTACGTGTATAAGAGTTTCTGTTGAGAATATATTTGCTATTTAATCACTTCTTCAGGAATACTTTCTTGAAACATGCCTTATACATGACGTAAACATTACAATATATGATTCAGTAAATCGGCAACAGAATCACAAAATTGTCTCGTATCATGTAGTGAGACTTCGAAAAGCCATTCGACAGAAATTTTAAGTCCGCTGAAACAGAATGCCAAAGGTTCAATGCAAACACGCATCCACTGAAGTCGGTCTTCTCAGAGAAACGAATCCTCTCCGCCGAAGCAGGATTCATTACACAGTCAGTCAATGTGAGAACTCAACAGACAAAGCATCTGAGGTTCATGGAATTTCTTGAAATACAGTACTCCTCTGATTACCCATTTTGTGATACTGATAGATAGACGAGTAAGTTCATAACCTTACAATTGCCAAGAACAAAATGAACAACAAAAATTGAACAATACATTATTTCAAATGCAATATTTGAAATAATACATGCTTATCTGTAATAGCCATTATTTACTCACCCTGAAAATGTATCCGTAAGACAATTATAACTTCTTTCCTCATAAAATTTAATGAAAGGCACCTATCTCTGATTGGCTAAACTGACAAACAACTCTTGGTCATCACATTCTATTACCATAACCCATCTTCCCCAAATAAGCCCAAAAAATCACAAAGCACTACTATTCACGAGACATAATATCTGAATATTAATAAATATTATATCCCTTTTAACTACATTCACTCCTTTTGTATTTAATTGTCTACACTTAAATTATAAGAACGAGTATTAATTATTTAAATATTTTCTTCGCTAACAACATAAAGAAACATATTTTACACCGTTACGTTACAGATATAAAAGTATTGTTGCTAATTTACCTCGCCCCAGAAGAGTCATCTTTTTATTATTCGTATTTATTTATTATAAGTTTATCACATACGAAACTGTTTAAAATAAAAGGTTTTGGCCTCTTCACATTACATAATGTGAAAATTATTTTTATAGTAAGTTATTATTGAGAAAATCATAACGTTCTATTTTATCTTTAAAAAGTAGGTTTATGCATGTGTAACGTATGCACATACGGTCCAGAATTAAATGAAATGCTCAGCTTTCGGTGCAGACCACCCACCACCAAATTCAATCAAAATCTGTCAACTTTCGGAAATGAAAATGCAGACTGACAGACGTGACTTCCTATAATGCACTCAATACATAATGTGCTTTGTGCATACAATAGATGGCAAATACATATTCTACTATTTCAACCGTAACTCGTCCTGAGACGTACTGAAGTAAGATTAAGTATCTCAACACTAGAGGGAGTGGATTGGGCAGCATCGAACTACTGTCGACTTACACTAACAGTGTTTAGTTAAATATTATTGAGCAAATGACCATGTAGCATTTGTAGGAGAATACAGAATAACAATAAAATGGTGATATATAAAACTCATGAAGAGAAATAGTTTCAAATACCAGTTGGAATAGAGAAAATATTTTTTAAGTTGAACAGAGAAATAAGAAACTTAACTGGGCATAAACAGCTTAAATATGAAGGCTCTAAGTATTAAATTTAACGTACGGGTGAGTAAGAACACTGTGAGAAACAAAGATTTCTTACTCTGTCTTTAGATTTTATTTACGACTGACGGTATTGTATTTTCTAAATTCCCACAACATACTTAAGAAGAGGTGCTTCGACCCTCAAACGTTACTTCACGTGCAAGGATTTTGGAACCTATATTTTCAGACCTTTCATACTACTCATTACGAACATTTATTCAGAAATCAGCGTAAATAAACTTAATGTCCTGTAGTGAACCCCTTCTGGACTCGCTTCTTAGGCTAGATGAAGAGCAACGTTTATAAGAAAGTTTACTAATATTTTAATTTTGAAAAGTCTGATATGGACTATTATACAGAAGTGTCTTTGTGTTGGTGAAACTGCGAGAAACAATTTATAACTATAATAAGTTTTAATTTTTCTCAAATATATTGTATTATTTAAAAAAAAAAACACTATTTCTATTCGGCAGGGCCCGTGTTCATCTTTCCCAAAACGCCGGTTATCCTCACAGAATTTTCGAAACTTTCCTAAGTCCCTCCGAGCAATCTATGCGATAATACGTTTAATCAGGATATGACATCTTCCTTCCATATCCTACCTAATTAATCATTCATTGATTACTCTATCATTCGACGTAACACAGTGCGTTACTGACAACGTCGATTAAACAAATACAAACAAATAAAATATATAAAATAAAACGTTTTCTAAATTCGGTTTCCTTCGGTCACCAGATGCTAAACCACTGTGTCAAACAGGGATTAATAAACTGTTTATTATGCATGTGATTTCTGGGCACAAATCTGGTTTTGTTGTGGATATGGCTTGACCACAGCCTAATTACAGAAGAGCTGGGAAGCTGGATGCAGTGTTGGTGTGTTAACAAAATGAAAGCAATGTGTAATTTTGAAGCTCTTCATTCCAATCTCTGTTAGTAAACCTCATTCAGAACCTACAAATTATTTATTATCATCGTTTTCTTATAAACCAAAAATGGAACTTATCCCAAGCCACCCAGTCCAACGCCTCACACCATATTTCATTACAAACGACTTCAATGCTACAAAACTGTATTTAAATCATGAAAGATAGATGCAACTTGAAGAATCAAATCGTAGATGACAAAAAACATTAAAATTAATCTCAAAGACATGTGCTCCGACGGATCGCACTGAATATAGTGCAGTGGCAAACTTTTAAGGACGCAAAAATAAATTTCGGGGGAAATCTTAAGCAGCTTGGCAACTATCAGTTTCTCCGTATGAACTATTACTCTATGCGATAGTGACTTTCAATTCTAAATTTGGAATCACAAAATTATCTGGCACGTTCGGTGACCATTGCTAATTACGTTCATATTACTAGTAGCATTCTACTTAATGTTATATTTTACTGCATAAAATGGATACTTTTTCTAATATTATAAGAAATTTCCTTCCACACGGTTCAGAGACATTGTCACGGAGACTTCCTAACAAGACAGAATATTGTTTGCAATTACACACTACGGAGACGTTTTTTTTAGAAAAGGAAAAACTCCATCAATGTATATGTTCCTATAAGTTCCTTTCACTAGTATTGTGGAGAATGGCATATAATTAGGCTATATTCTGTAAATTATACTGCTACATTAGAGAACTGACATAATTTTATCATTAAGGGCCCACTCAACATGAACATATGCAGGTAAAAATCTCGGAAGCTATCCTGCCTTGCAATGTAGTTACAAGTGTAAGTTGAAAAACCACTGGATTTGTCAGAATAAACTCTGTAGATGCTAATTATATAATTAAAATAGTTTTTATGATACCTATTTCAAAGACCTTAAGATAACCTACACACAAACCAATAATATATTACACTTCTATTTATGGGAGCGAAAGTCCACTTTGAAGAATGAAAATAATCTGCATGCATGAAAAAATAAATAAAGTAAGTTGCGGATTTATCATACCAAATCTCTGATGTATATGTGAGAAGGTTTGAAGTCAAACCAAGTTAGTACGACGGGGGCCTTCATATCGAGCAGTAAAGAAAATCTAGGAACTCCGTAATTTTTTGTTTCCGCGTGACTCCACTGACAACAAAGGAAAAAAAATTATGAATGCATGTCATGTATGACTTGTGACAGTGCCCTACCTGATACCACCGCGTGAAGTGTCGTAGTTCAGCATCCGTTGTCCGTGCTTCCACGTGACGTAGCTGGACGGCTGGGGCACTTGGCTGACGACACACTTGAGCTCAATTGTGCTTCCTGCCTTGTAGAACTTGTCGGGGATCGCGTCCCCTCGCTCGTCCACGATCTCTACCTTGGGAACTGTGAACATAGAAACAACATCTCTTGTCACATTTGCCTGATGACCGATAGATCGACAAGCGATTTATTAAATTAACAGTAAAACATAACCCACTTCATCTACTAACTCAGTAGGGACTACGGTTGATAATACAAGCAATAAAGGTTTAAAATCAAAGTGGCATGTGTCACATTTCCAGTGAAAAATTCACATACTTAGCATGTCATGTTGTATTAGAGACAACAAACGTATCACTAGGGCGCATAACAAATCTCAGGCATCTCGTACAGTGTAAGATTTGAGGTTTTCGCAGCGGTAAGTATGAAGATTTCTGTCTTCTGGGTTGTTGCGCTGTGTAGACTGGTCGATGTTTACCATCGTTTCAGAGGTCATACTGCCTCCGTCATCAGGGCGATGAATCGTCCTGATGACGGAGGCAGTATAGCCTCTGAAACATGGGTAAAGATTGACCAGACTACACAGCGCAATAACCCAGAAGACAGAAATCTTCATCTCGTACAGTGCTTACCCATTATTATGAACTGCAGGGTTCCCTTATGTTTCGCTTAACGCCAGTCAGTCTATTAGAGGTTACGTCCTGTTCATTTCTCTATGTACTTTGTTACGCTACTGAGTAGTAGTTTTCGTGCGATACCATTTAAACTGTTTTATTTGTTGCCGTGCTTCATTACACGCGTTTTGTTCTAGCTACAATACAACCGCTCAAGGAGAGAAGAATTTTAAAAGTTCTGGTTCAGTGTATCATCCATCGTGAGATGAATGCAGGTCAGGAAATGATAGCAAAACTTCATCTGCAGAAGACAATGCTTGCGACCATCAATCGAAAATAAAAGAAAGGAAAGATAAATGAGGGTGTCTTTTAGGGGAAACACGAAAGACGAAAGGAATCATGGTCAGGACTACGTTGCGAAAAAGACATAAGGCTTTCAAAAAGAAGTTTGTGAATGAAGAATGTCGTTAAGGAATTTTTTTTTTAAATAACGGTAGAGTTAAAAAATAAAATTTATACAATTTGCTGGAAAATAGGTGAATTAAAGACTCACAATGCTTCAACTCTATTTGGTGAAAATTTAGAATCCTTATTCAATTCAGAACAAGAATATCAATCAAACTTCTGAGGGTGTATAGCAAGAAATATTAATTTACCTGTTGGAAGAATCACAATACAAAATTGTAAAAGGTTCTTCATCCACTCTCTCCATATTTCAGACGGCATGATGACAACCGCTGCCACGGAAATATTAAAATTAAAAGAATCTGGCAGAGATAAGAGAGAGAGCCAGTCTCTTTCTAGCCCTTTAAAGCCGAAACTCCTCTGAATAATGGTTAAACATTCAGAACCTGTACTTATAATTAACACCGGGCTTTAAAGATTAATAATGTTAAAGATACAACTTGGATACTTTCGTTTATGCTTTGAGTATTACATAAAAAATAAATAAAACTACTTTAGAAGGCGAAACATGTTACTGTAGACACAAACGGTTACTGAACAGTCTTCAAGCAGGTGTATTTAAATACTATTCTTATTCTCTTCGTCGTGTGTAAGATAGCGTTCTTCTCATTAAAGAAATAATTAAGTCGCAAGACATACAGCCCACGAGTAAACGAATGGAGAAGACTACAAATAGAATAGTTACAAATGAAGCCAGTTTATTTGGATTTCAATCACAGAAAAGGGTCATCTACTCACTTAAGACGTGAAATACGAAGATAGACAGACATTAAATGTATTTGCACTTTTATTCTATTCGCGCTGTTCCCTATTTGGCTTCAGCATTACAACATTCGTTCCATATATTCGCAAAGGAAACATGGCAAAAAGCAATTTAAATGCAGTGCGCTAAGAACACTGCCACAACTTAACTAACCCACTAATCAACTAACACAGTCCTTTTTAAGAAGCTCGATCAGTAAATATTCCCTTCATTCTGTACAGAAACAGAACAATCGTCATTGTATTCGTAGGACCCAGGAGCTAATATTTTATTCTTCTAAAATAAATTTATTATTATAATTTCAAATAACTCTCTGTCTTTTCAGTTTCATTCCGTACCTCATAATTTTCAAGTTTGTTAGTTATGTCAGCAAACCAACACTGTTAGTTTTAAACTAATGTTCCACTTCTCTTAATGAAGGCTGCGTTTGACCCATAATTTCTCTTATTATCCGGCATTCTCTTTAGCACTAAGCTTTCTTTTGTAAATTTTACCTTCTTAGGATTTTAATAGTTTCGTTTGCTACGGAAATTAGACATCATCTCATCAATTCAAAAATTATTTTCATACGATGTCCATTTTAATCGTTGACAATTTAATTTATTCTTTCTTATTTCCTTTTATAAACCTACGCGTCCACTATAATCTTGTAAATACTATAACACCACCAACACTGATAGATCTTCATTATTCATCATATTTCCAGTCAAGTGATACATGAAACACTTACTTATATACTTTGTCTTTCATCTTCTTATTTCCGAAACAGTTCCCGGGTTCTTTGTTTTAAAACACGTATACGAGGTATTTCCTTCAATTCATTTACATTTCACACCAACTCAAAATAACCAGCAAATTTATTGCTTTGTACTTTTTATACATTCAAGATTCTCAACAGTAGACGAGATGATAGTTTCCGAAACGAATAAAAACAAGTACAAACTGGAGTCCTCTAACAAGCATTTCTGCGTCAACATGTACGTAAGTCATTCAAGCAACAAGAACACTACACAAATAAGGAGGTACGGACCGTATGAAGCGATGGAGCGTACGGTGTTATCGTAGAACGGAAATAATGTGGCTTGATACACAAATAACATGGTCCCAATATTCTAATGGCACCGGTAATTTGATTTGCGTTCAAGTAGACGGTGCACACTACAGATTGGGGTCGCAGAGTCGTGGCATGGTGCTGGCATACATGTACGCGAACCGACACCTTGGGGGTTCGAAAAAGTGGAGGGGAGTTACGACCTGCTACTGAAAGGTCTCACCTAATCACATGCAAGCAGGTTAATTCCACCCAATATCCAATCAACTGTTATACAAGTCACGCATTCACAACCTTGGCGCCCCATTGTCTAGGTCAGTGATTTACATTTAATGACTCCTGGGGCACAATGGGTTGCTTTCTGCTGAGAGTGGCTAGAAGTCTTGTATGAGGTTGCAGAATTGTTAAAAGATATAACTCAAACGACTAATACAGAATCAGTCTCTTTCATAAGAATTGTAATGCCAAAATATATGTCAAAATAAAAAGATCGAATTCATTTTGAGATAGACGTTCATTGGAGTTTGCCTACCAACAGAGATTATTATAATGTAAGAGACAGAACTAACAGGAGGCTAGAACTCCTGTAGCTTCGTAACTCGAATTATCAAATGGGCCTCTTATTAAGATGATTAAATCAAAGAGGACAAGATTTCTTTTCTGATGGTACTCAAGCACGAAGGATAAATATAGCTATAATCGTATAAAATTAGTAACCATACCCGTTATTGAAATAAACTGAAAGTAAATAATTGATTGCTTATTTTTTATATCAAACAACTTGAACATACTCCAGAATCACCATAAACAATCAGAGCTCACTCTGTCCTAAATTAAAATTAAAACTTGGTGCAAAGGAAGAAATTAGCACTGAATTATTTTCACAATTTTACTTACATCAACCGTATAAAAGGACGATGTAGAAACGCACACATTCTTTTCATCGCGATGGCGTCATATGGTGATTGATGTTGTAAATACCACATTGATCGCATTACGTATAAAACTGTAAGACATCGAGGACGACCATCAAAATCATAATAGTTGTAAATATTTATTACATTAAAATATTTGTTTGAAAAGAGTACAATTTTGTTAGAAGTAAATATATGATAAGTGGTAAATTACTATTACAAAGTATAATATATTTTGGGGGTAAATTAGAAAGGGCGTGAGTGATTAACTAAGAATATTGATTGATTGAAACGTCTTCAAGCAACAATGCAAAGTTAGTAACATGAGATCGTCATATTTGATAAATATAAATATAATAATATCCATTTATTCTTAATTCGATTAAATTGTGGGGCAAAAAAGGATGACAAATATTTTGGCATATTTTATACTACAACTGTGAGTAAAATCGGCATTAAAAGTTGTATTTGTATGTGGATGTATGCCACTTTAAAATAAAATTGTCCGATTTAATATATGACGTTAAACGTAGGATAAGATGCACTTATAATAGCGAAAACATTCTTTTACTTGTTCATAATCTTATTGAAATTTATGTGTAGGCTTACGACCTGATGGAAATTACTTCACGTTAATAATTAATTTCGCTCTGCTCTGTTTACGCACTGTAGATGTAGTCAGCTGAGTGTTTTGTAAACAGAGCAATGATGAAAGGTTATGGCTCCAACAAAGAGCACCCCCTTGATTCGAAACAGATCAAACAGAAATTCTGAATTATGTGGGGTGCAGAATACAGAAGAGAACCACGATTGTACTGATATACATGTCATGCAGAAAATAATTATAATGAGGGCCAGGCTATTAAATCAGAGATTCTCTTTTGACTAATCCATTTAGATTCAACGTCATTATGCAAAAGTGTCAAGTGGTAATAAATGAACCTAAATCTACTGTAATTATTTTCCTGTTCTAATTGGAATCTGAATTTTCTGAAGCTCTGTGGGTACCGGGGGACTATTTCCTAAGGAATTATAAAACGAAAACATTTATGGACTAATGTTAATCCTTTGTGCTTCCATAAGTTTCATGCTACTAATAATCGGCGTCATTCGTTCATGATGACCCAAACATGAACATGTACTAGGGATGGCCTATATCGCCCGGCTCTTTCATTTGCAAAGATTAGATAAATTTTTATTTTGTAGCAACTATTTCTTAATACGCAACCCGAAAATAAAATTTGGATATTAATAATCATACAAATAGTTGAAACACAAACTTTTATTTTGTCGGGTTAAACACATGTTTTGATATA